TTTTTTTTGTGAGACAGAGTCTCACTCTGTCACCCAGGCTGGAGTGCAGTGGTGCAGTGTTGGCTCACTGCAACCTCTGCCTCCTGGGTTCAAGTGACACTCCTTCCTCAGCCTCCAGAGTAGTGGGGACTACAGACATGCACCACCACACCCGGCTAATTTTTGTGTTTTTAGTAAAGACAGGGTTTCACTATGTTGGCCAGGTTGGTCTGTAACTCCTGACCTCAAGTGATTCACCTGCCTTGGCCTCCCAAAGGGCTGGGATTATAGGAGTGAGCTACCGTGCCTGGCCTGTCATTGTTTACTTGTCTGTCTCCCCAGCTAGACTGTCAGCTCCCTGAGGGCAGGGAGTTTTTTGTTTTTTGGTTTTTTTTTTTTTTTATTTGAGACAGTCTTGCTCTGTGGCCCAGGCTGGAGTGCAGTGCTGCAATTGAAGCTCTCTGCAGCCTCAGACTCCTGGGCTCCAGCAGTCCTCCCATTTCAGCTTCCCAAGTAGCTGGGACTACAGGCACACATCACCACATCCTGCTAATTTTTAAAGATTTATTTTTTTGTAGAAAGAGGGTTGTTATTAAGTCACCTAGGATGAACAGGGAGTTTTGTCTGCCTCATTCACTGCTGTGTCTAGAACCAGGCCTGGCACGAAGTAGTTGCTCAATAAATGTTAGCTGAATAAGGCAGAGGAAAGGCATCCTGCAGGGAATGCACACCAGTGGATATGGGGGTTCCTGGGAGATGCTCCCATTCTGTGAATAGTGACACATGGTGGGAGAGAATGTAGCTGATGCCCAGGCTGGGAGGGGTGTCTAGCGCCTTCACAGACTCAAGCAGGCAGCAGTGGCATTCCTGAGTCCTGTGTGCATGACCTGGGTGTGTGTAGGGGTGCAGGTGTATGGGGCCACGCCTGGAGCAGGCCTCACATACTCTGCCGTTAACCTCCTGTTATCTGTGTGTGCCTGGGAGTCTACACAGTGTCCACACACAGGTGCACTCTTGAATCGCTCTCCCCCAACCCTCCCACCCCAGACTACTCCATTCGCCACCCTGGCCAGTTCTTCCGTTCCAACTACATGTTCCTGTTCCAGCTCCCCTGGCTGCCGGAGAAGTTGCTGTCTATGTCTGACTTCCAGGTACAGACAGTGTGGGTTGAGGGCGGGGAGGGAAGCAGGTTGGGGGTGGGCGGGCTGGGCACTGAAGCCAGAGTCCTGCTGTGTACCCAGATTCTGAAGACCACCCTCACCCACCGCAAGACAGGCATCCCATGCTTGACCCCCAACGAGCTTGAGGCCTTCCTCTATCACTTCTCACAGCCTGGTGGTCTCACCGGGCCCGTCAACTACTACCGAAACCTCTTCAGGTGAGACCAGACACCAGGCATAAGTTCAGGAGATTTGCAGGGCAGGCAGGTGGGAGGTAGCCATCCTTCTGCCTGTCTTTCTGTCTTTCCTGGCCACAGGAACTTCCCCCTGGAACCCCAGGAGCTGGCCACACCCACGCTGCTGCTGTGGGGGGAGAAGGACATTTACTTTGAGCTGGGGCTGGTGGAAGCCATCGGCAGCCGCTTTGTGCCGGGCAGGTTGGAGGCTCACATCCTGCCAGGCGCGGGGCATTGGATCCCACAGAGCCACCCTCAGGAGATGCACCAGTACATGTGGGCTTTCTTGCAAGACCTGCTGGACTAGTGGCCCTTGCCGGCCTGCCCGGGAAGCACAGATACTTAGGAAGGAACACACCCTCGTCATCTGCGTGTACCTGGGAGTCCATAGAATGTCCATACATGGGTGGACTCTTGAATTGCTCCTAGGCATGGGATTCCTGGATCTCACACAAGTGTACTTATGAGTGCTTTGGGACCCACCAACCCCTGTGCTCACATGCAGGCATGGACGAGTGCATGTGTGACAAGCTCTGACCCTGGGTATGCCTCTCCTCCAGTGGAGCCAGATGCCAGGACCCAGTGTCCCACCTCTCCCCTCCCTGGGGCCTCACCCTGCTCCTTGCCAAAGTCAGCTCCTGGAATAACTGCACAAACCTTAAACCCTGACCTTCCTGTCCCTGCCTTCCACCTCCTGCCTGGGTTTTCAGCTCAATGCTACTCTAAGTACGATCCTGCTGGGTGCATTTGGCTACTTCAACTTAAAGGTATGTTAATGGAAATGAAATACAGTGAAAATGCTCTGCTCAGTCACACCTGCTGTATTTCTTTTCTTTTCTTTTTTTTTAACTTGAGACAGAGTCTCGCTCTGTCACCCAGGCTGGATGGAGTGCAGTGGTACAATCTCAGCTCACTGCAACCTCCACCTCCTGGGTTCGAGCAATTCTTGTGTCTCTGCCTCCCGAGTAGCCGAGACTACAGGTGTGTCACCATGCCTGACTAATCTTTGTATTTTCAGTAGAGATGAGGTTTCACCATGTTGACCAGGCTAGTATCGAAATGCTGGCCTCAAATGATCCGCCCACCTTGGCCCCTCACAGTGCTGGGATTGCAGGCAGGAGCCACTGTGCTTAGCCACACCAGCTGTGTTTGAAGTGCTCCAGTGCCACATCAGTGAAGAACGTTCTGTTAGGCAGAGCTGATGAGGGCAATCCTAGCCTAAGAGCTGGGGGCCTCCCTGTCTGGCTCCTGACAACCTCCCCAAGGGCAGACCCTCATCAGCAGGCAGGTAGATGTGCATATTCCTCTCCAGCTCCCAGGGGAGCTCCTGCAATCCCCTTTCCTTACCCATCCCCCATGACCCAAGGCCTGGTCAGGTCAACTTCTCTCGCCCCAGCCTGGGCTTGCCTGCTCCAGATCCCTGGGAAAACAGCTTTCGGGTCTGTTAGAGCAGGCGATTCTGGATTGGGGGCAGGAAGGGACCAGGTCCCAGAACAGCCATCTGGGATCTGAGGCCTGCCTCTCCAGCTCCTGGAAACTTCTGCTCCAAATTAGCCACAGTTTCCGCTGACTCTGGAGCCCTCTGGGGTGGCGGTGGGGGTTACAAGTGGAGGGTGGGCCACCCAGCCCCAGGCTGATCATAGCATTAGCTTGTATCTCCCTGGCTTTTGCCCAGCTTTTTGGGGACGTTGCTGTCATCACCTGTACCACGAAGACTGAGGGGCCATAAGAAATACATTCTGGCCGCGCGCGGTGGCTCAAGCCTGTAATCCCAGCACTTTGGGAGGCCGAGGCGGGTGGATCACTAGGTCAAGAGATCGAGACCATCCTGGTCAACACGGTGAAACCCCGTCTCTACTAAAGCTACAAAAAATTAGCTGGGCATGGTGGTGCGTGCCTGTAATCCCAGCTACTCAGGAGGCTGAGGCAGGGGAATTGCCTGAACCCAGGAGGCGGAGGTTGCGGTGAGCCGAGATTGCGCCATTGCACTCCAGCCTGGGTAATAAGAGCGAAAACTCCGTCTCAAAAAAATAAATAAATAAATATAAATAAAAAATAAATAAATAATAAGAAATACATTCTTCTGTCTCTGAGATGGGCCTGCCTGCTGGTCATCCCCCTCTGCCCTCCTGTCCCCAGCACAACACGCTTTTACTCAACATAGATACCACGCAGTGTTCTTGGTCCTAGGGATACAGCGTGAGCCAGAAAGAGTTTAAGGAGGAGAGAGCTGACAGGGATCAGGGAAGGCTTCTCTGAAGACCCATAGGTGGGACCCTAGCTGAGAGATGCACTGTTTTGTTGTTTTGAGACAGGGTCTCACTCTGTTGCCCAGGCTGGGGTGCAGTGGTGTGATCTTGGCTTACAGCAGCCTCGACCTCACGGGCTCAATCAATCCTCTTGCTTCAGCCTCCCAAGTAGCTGGGACTATAGGGACACACCACCATGCCAGGCTAATTAAGAAAAAAATTCTTTTTGAGAATGTAGTCTTGCTCTGTTGCCCAGGCTAGAGTGCAGTGGTGAGATCTCAGCTCACTGCAACCTCCACCTCCTGGGTTCAAGCGATTCTCCTGCCTCAGCCTCCTGAGTAGCTGGGATTACAGGCATGCGCCACCATGCCCAGCTGATTTTTTGTATTTTTAGTAGAGACGGGGTTTCACCATGTTGACCAGGATGGTCTCGATCTCTTGACCTCGTGATCCACCCGCCTCGGCCTCCCAAAGTGCTGGGACTCCAGGCATGAGACACCACGCCTGTCTTGGGATGCACTTCTTCGGGGGAGTGGGAAGCAGTGACTAGGAAGGTCCCAGGATGGAAGAACCTTGAGTCACTGGAGTCACAACACGCAGGCCAGGGGATTGCTAACAGAGTGAGCAAGGAGGCTTCAGAGAAGAGGCCACACAGCCAGAACCGCCAGGGGCTGCCAGGAGCTTGGATTCGGTTCTCAAGGGGAGCCGGGGAGGTTTTTCAGCAGGGGAGGGACATGGCTTGCATTTTGAAGAGCTCCCTGTGGCGCTTGGACAGTCCCACGCAAAACTGCGAGCGCCCAGGCCTGCAGGGGGCTGCGCGCGGCCACAGCACAGGGCGGTCCTACTGCCCCGACTGAGCAGGGACCCCCGGGGCCCGGCCCAACCCGGGGCCCCCTGCCGGGGTAGGAGCAACGTCCCCCGCCCCGGGGAGGCGAGGAGACGGGCGGGAGGAGGAGGGGACCCTTGAGACGTGGGGCCCCGGGACTTCCGAGCCTGCGGCGGTGATTTGGGGCGAGGAGGTCGGCGGACCAGACCAGGACAGTGTCCAGGGGTCTGTGGGTCCGGCGATGGTTGCCGGGGTGACGGGGGACGGGTTGATGGTTGACCGGAACGGGTAGCGGTTGTCCGGGTGACCGGAGAGGCCCAGGCGAAGGCTGACGGGAGGCCTAGGACAGTTGCCCGGGCGACAGGGGTCCGCTGACGGTTGCTAGGACAACAGAAAGGCGCCTTCTTCCGCCTCCGCGGCTGCGGGAGTGAGGGAGGCGGGGTCTCCTGAAGAAGGCGATCCCGTCGATTGGGCAGATTCCTGGTGAATGAGCCAATGGAAACTCATGTATCGTCCTAGACCCGCCTCCCCCAGCCTGAGCCAATCCTGGCGCTTTTTTTTTTTTTTTTCCCCCCTCCCCCCCGGCTCAGGGCCTTAGCGCGCGCAACTTTTCAGGCGGGAGCTGGGACCTCGCGGGCTCAGGCTGGGGTTCCTCCCGACATCGGCCAGTCCCTCTCCCTGCCTCCAGACCACTTTCCATCACTCACTCACTCACTCACTCATTCAGAGAGCTGCATTGGTGGTTCAGTAGTAGAATTCTCTCTTCCCATTCATTCGTTCATTCATTCATCTGTCCCTGCCACCAGTTCGAGAAGACGTGGTGGAAGACAAAGCCCGGCTCAGACACTGCCTGCAGGGTGTGGTCAGGCCCGGGCGGAAAGAGCAACTGGGAGGAGCACTTACCTGGGGGAGGGAGGGAAGGCTCCCTGGAGGAAGCAGTCTTGGAGCTGAACTTTGCAAAGCTGGGCTCTGACCCACAGAAGCCACCCACGCCGGGATGATTTAGCATTTCCGTGAGACTGGAAGGAAGGTTTGGGATAGGAAGACGTGGGACTGTAAAAGGCTTCCCAGGCCAGCAGGGGAGGGTCTCGGACAGATCTGTGTGCCTAGAATGTTACTTGGGGGGTGGTGAAAAGGCCTGACCAGAGGGGCCGACGGAGGGTGGGGAGGCCTCAGAGGGGGAATGGGAGTGGTCCAGGCAGTGGAGAAAGACTCAAGTCCAGGCACTGGAAGAGGACCAGATACTCTGAGAAGGTACAGAGGCAGGTTTGGGATATATTCAGTCTGATGGGGCTGGATCCCGGGGTAGGAACCTAGAAGCATATTATGGGCTAAAGACAAAAATAGCCCAGCATCCCAGCACTTTGGGAGGCCCGGGCGGGTGGATCACGAGGTTAGAAGTTCGAGACCAGCCTGGCAAATATGGTGAAACCCCCATCTCTACTAAAGATACAAAAAATTAGCTGGGCATGGTGGCAGACACCTGTAATCCCAGCTACTCGGGAGACTGAGGCAAGAGAATCGCTTGAATCTGGGAGACAGAGGTAGCAGTGAGCCAAGATTTGAACCTGGGAGACAGAGGTAGCAGTGAGCCAAGATTTTGCCATTGCACTCCAGCCTGGGCAACAGGGTGAGACTCCGTCTAAAAAAAAAAAAAAGCCCAGCAAGCATCGATGTATTGTGGAGCAGACAGGCTCTGAAGCTGGGAGCCAGGGTGAAGTCTCCCTAGAGCAGAGTGGAGAACAAGACTCGAGACTGACTCCTGAGGGCCCCCAACACCTCAGAGACAGGCAGAGGAGAGAGGCCACAAAGGTAGGAGGGGAACCAGGCAAACCTGATGCCCCAGGAATGGAGAAGGGAGGAGTGTCCGGGAATAGGGATGTAGTTCCTAGTGTCAAAAGCCCCTGAGAAGGCCGGGCGCCGTGGCTCACGCCTGTAATCCCAGCACTTTGGGAGGCTGAGGCGGGTGGATCACGAGGTCAGGAGTTCAAGATCAGCCTGGCTAAGATGGTGAAACCCTGTCTCTACTATAAATACAAAAAAATTAACCAGGTATGATGGTGGGCGCCTGTAATCTCAGCTACTCAGGAGGCTGAGGCAGAGAATTGCTTGAACCTCGGAAGTGGAGGTTGCAGTGAGCCGAGATTGCGCCACTACACTCCAGCCTGAGTGACAGAGTGAGACTCCATTAAAAAAAAAAAAAAAAAAAAGCTCAGAGGAGCAGCTCCTCATCTCTCAAGTAGGAGGAAAAGCAGTTGGGACAGTGGGGACAAGTGGCATCCCTACAGGAAGGAGGACAAGCTTCTGGGGCAAGGGATGCAAAAATGAGCAGTTAGGGCAGGGGTCCCCAAACCTCAGACCACAGAGGAATGGGGCCGTACAGCAGCAGCTGAGTGGCAGGGGAGCCACTGAGCCTCCATCTGTATTTACAGCTGCTCTCCATCACTGGCGTTACCACCTGAGCTCCGCCTCCTGTCAGATAAGCATCGGCATTAGAGTCTCATAGGAGCTCAAACCCTACTGTGAACTGTGCATGCACGGGATCGAGGTTGCACGCTCCTTACGACAATCTCATGCCTGATGTGTGTCACTGTCTCCCATCGCCCTTAGATGGGACTCTCTAGTTGCAGGAAAACAAGCTCAGGGCTCCCAGTGATTCTACATTATGGTTGTATCATTATTTCATTATATAATACAATGTAATAATAATAGAAATAAAGTGCATGATAAATGTGATGCGCTTGAGACTGGTCACGGTGGCTTATACCTATAATCCCAGCACTTTGGGAGGCCAAGGCAGGTGGATCACCTGATGTCAGGAGATTGGGACCATCCTGGCCAACACGGTGAAACCCTGTCTCTACTAAAAATACAAAAATTAGCTGGGCATGGTGGCCCGTGCCTGTAATCCCAGCTACTTGGGAGGCTGAGGCAGGAGAATTGCTTGAACCAAGAAGTTGGAGATTGCGGTGAGCCGAGATTGCACTCGAGCCTGGTGACAGAGCAAGAGTTCTTCTCAAAAAAAAAATATATATATATATGCTGAGGCTCGTCGTGGTGGCTCATGCCCATAATCCCATCACTTTGGGAGGCCAAGGCGGTTGGATAACTTGAGACCAGGAGGTAGAGACCAGCCTGGCCAACATGGTGAAACCCTGTCTCTACTAAATATACAAAACTAGCGCCTGGCGGGGCGCCTGTAATCCCAGCTAATCAGGAGGCTGAGGCACAAGAATCACTTGAACCCAGGAGGCAGAGGTCTCAGTGAGCCGAGATCAGGCCACTGCACACCAGCCTGGGTGACAGAGAGAGATTGTCTCAAAAAAATCAATAAAAATAAAAATGGCCGGGTGTGGTGGTTCATATCTGTAATCCCAGCCTGGGTGACAGAGAGAGAACTTGTTTCTAACTCCAAAACAAAACAAACGAACAAACAAAAAGGCCAGGAACAGTGGCTGACACCTGTAATCCCAGCACTTTGGGAGGCTGAGGTGGGATCACTTGAGGTCTGGAGTTCAAGACCAGCCTGGCCGAAACCCCATCTCTACAAAAATACAAAAAATTAGCTGGGCATGATAGCCAGTGCCTATAATTCCAGGTACTCGGGAGGCTGAGGCAGGAGAATTGCTTGAACCCAGGAGGTAAAGGTTGCAGTAAGCTGAGATCTCACCATTACACTCCAGCCTGGGCAACAGAGAGAGACTCCACCTAAAAGAAAAGAAAAAAAAAGGCCAGGCACGGTGGCTCACGGCTGTAATCATAGCACTTTGGGAGGCCAAGGTGGGCAGATCATAAGGTCAGGAGTTCAAGACCGTCCTGGCCAAATGAAACCCTGTCTCTACTAAAAATACAGCTGAGCATGGTGGTGCATGCCTGTAATCCCAGCTAGTTGGGAGGCTAAGGCAGAATTGCTTGAACCAGAACCAGGGAAATGGAGGTTGCCATGAACCGAGATCGCACCGTGAACCGAGATCACGCCACTGCATTCCAGCCTGGGCTACAGAGCAAGACTCCATCTCTAAAAAATAAATAAATAAATAAGTGCGTTCTTTTCCCCCCACTTCCTTTTCTTCTCCATCAGTTCTCACACTCCTCCCTTGGGAAGCCCTAACACCTCCAATCTTTTCCTCTGACCTAGCCCCTGATCCTATAGAGCCTGGCTCTGTCTGTGTCCATACAGGGGGCGCTCAGTAGATCTGGAGGGCTGGCCTTAGACACGATTAGGTCCCAGCTCTCAATTTATTCATTCATTCAGTTGACAATGCTTTCAGTTACTGTGCATCAAGCTCTGTGCTGGATGTTGGGGCCCCAGCACTGAGCAAGACAGATGCCCACCTATCTTGGAATCTGATGAGTGAGTCGGGCAGGATTACGTGGAGTCATCAGGGCCCTGATGGAGGCCATGTGAAGCCTCAGGAAAGGCTCCCTGGGAGAAAAGAATGTTCAACTTTGCAAAGTGATTCTTTTCAGCCAGGCATGGTGGCTCATGCATGTAATCTCAGAACTCTGGGAGGCCAAGGCAAGTGAATCACTTGAGGTTAGGAGTTCAAGACCAGCCTGGCCAACATGGGGAAACCTTGTCTCTACTAAAAATACAAAAGTTAGCCAGGCGTGGTGACGGGTGCCTGCAATCCCAGCTACTTGGGAGGCTGAGGCAGGAGAATAGCTTGAACCCAGGAGGCGGAGGCTAAAGTGAGTTGAGATCACACTGCTGCACTCCAGCCCGGGCGACAAGAGTGAAACTGTTTAAAAAAAAAAAATTATCTGGATATGGTGGTGCGCATCTGTAGTCCCAGCTACTTGGGAAGCTGAGGCATGAGAGTCACTTGAAACCCGGGAGGTGGAGGTAGCAGTGAGCTGAGATTGTACCATTGCACTCCAGCCTGGGCGACAGAGCTAGACTCTGTCTCCATAAAACCAAAAAAACCCAAAGTGATTGTTCTAAATTTTCTAAACTAAGTCAGATCAGCTTCTTGTGCTAAAGGCCTCCAGCGGCTTCACTGTGCTTGGGCTAGAACCCCAGACCCGCTGGCCCCTTGGGAGTGAGCCCCACCCTCTTCCCTGATCTCCCCACCTTTGCTCATTCTTCACCCGGCACCCAGGCTTCCTCGATGTTCCTCTTGCCTACGCGTCCCTCCTCCTCTGGGCCTTTGCACTTGCTGTTCCCTCTGCCTGGAACACTCACCCCTTAACCCCCTGCCCCGCTGTTTGCCTTGCAGGCTCCTCTCCTCCTTTAGGTGACCTCCCCCTCTCTCCTTCCCATTTAACTATCTTATTTCAGTGGTTCTGTTTGGGTTTTGGTTTTTTCTTTTCTTTTGATACAGAGTCTCCCTCTGTCTTCAGGCTGGAGTGTGGTGGCGCGACCTCGGCTCACTGCAACATCCGCCTCCCAGGTTCAAGCGATTATCCTGCCTCAGCCTCCTGAATAGCCGGGATTACAGGCATCCACCGCCATGCTCAGCTAATTTTTGCATTTTTAGTAGAGACGGGATTTCACCGTGTTGACCAGGCTGGTCTTGAACTCCTGACCTCAGGCAATCTGCCCACCTCAGCCTCCCAAAGTGCTGGAACTACAGGCATGAGCCACCACACCCAGCCTCTTTAGTATTATTATTATTTTTGAGACGGAGTCTTGCTCTGTCACCAGGCTGGAGTGCAGTGGCATGATCTTGGCTCACTGCAACCTCCGCCTCCCAAGTTCAAGTGATTCTCTCAACTCAGCCTCCTGAGTAGCTGGGATTACAGGTGCATGCCACCACACCCAGCTAATTTTTGTATTTTTAGTAGAGATGGGTTTTCCCCATGTTGGCCAGGATGGTCGTGATCTCTTGACCTTGTGATCTGCCCGCCTCAGCCTCCCAAAGTGCTGGGATTACAAGTGTGAAGCATGTTCCTACCAGTGGGAACTTGCATGCAAAGGCTGGCAAGTCTGAGAGGCAGGGAGATAAAGCTGATGAGGTGAAGAGGAATTGTGTCACTCTAGGCAATGGGGAGCCATGGAAGTTTCGAGCATCTGAGTGTCCCAGGGAAGCAGTGTCCAGGGGATATGGCTGGGTCCAGCCTCCCCACACTTGCCCAAGGCCCACACCCAACTGCCCTCACCCCT